GGGGGGGGGATGTCACGCCTCTCACAAACAGGAATCGGGGAAAGTCAGTGAACTGGTCCTCTGCACCCACCCATGGGTGGGATGTGTATTTTTAGCTCAGTCTAATGATGCCGAGGCTGAGTGGCTGGGCTCAGAGCTTGCTTAAAGTGCTTCGATTCCCAGCGCCCAGTGGCACATCTGCCTGTAAGAATAATGCTGGGGGATACACGTGCACTTGACCCCACCTTATCTTCCCGGAGGAGTGTCCTTGTGAGAAGTGGTGTGGCAGGGGAGAGGCAACGGCGAGGCAGCTAATGCAGCTCTCCCAGCCTCTGCTCATTTGTGGGGAAGATAAATGTGCTCCTCTCCCCTCTCCTCTGCCGTAATTAGCTTTAATTACACCTTTGCCCAAACTTTCTGTGCCTCCACAGCTTCATTCACTGCCACACAACAAACTGGATCCAGGGATCTGAAGGCTGATAAAGTGGAAATATTTTCGGTAAATGTATGAAGTAGTGATCTGGATAATTGGTTCGGACCGCTGACCACTGCCGTCACCACTCTCCGCACAACGAAAGAGTCAGGGATCATTCTTCCAGCTGTAGTGTCTCCAGCTTGCTATAATAATGTCTTCCTGACCCAGGGATCGCTCAGAAGGTGGAGTGGTCGCCCCGTGATCGGAAGGTCGGGGGTTCGAATCCACTGAACGGCTACCCTGAGGTTCCCCTGAGCGAGGTACCGTCCCTACACGCTGCTCCCCGGTGCGCCTGCTTAGTGTCTGCCCACTGCTTCACTGACTGAATGGGTCAAATGTAGAGAGAGTAATTTCCCCACGGGGATGAATGAGTATGCATTATTATTGTTTTGTGATTGGATTCAATCGTCGGGCTTTTTTACACAGGAAAATGGAAACTGCTAGAAGAAAATAAACTCAAGAACTAAATGACAAAGGTTATAAAATAGACTCAAAATCCAATAAGCCGACACCATCAGGCTTTTATAACGACTGTTTTATAGCACAGCACACAAGCCTGAGTCTGTAACAGGATGAAGCTGAGGGGATAGATCGACTATTATTCCACCTGAAAATGCATTTCTGTGTATTTATCTTTAATCACCAAGTCAGAATGCAAAACTTCCCTGTTTTCCTCTTCAGACAGCAGATGGTAGTAATTAAGGAATCAGATTAACAAAATAGAATCGTTCATATGATCACACCCTCCTCATTTCCAGCTTTTACCTTTATCCCATTTGTGCATCTTCATCCTTATTATCTTGTCTTGTCAGGGAAAGGCTCAGCTGGGATGTAGTGACAATATGGGAGCAATACAGCTTGATTTCCTGAGCGCTCATAGCAACAAAGAGATTCCTTTTCCTCCTCCAGCTGTGCTAGCAAACCCTATAATAGCCTTTATTACTTTAAATAGTTCTCACCCCGCTGTATCTGTGTCGTCGCACTATTGCCTCTTTGTTCTGTTGTTGTGTTCACTTGGCAAACAGGATTTGTTGATGCTATTCATCAAAGGTATAGTGGGGACGACAGTGTCGCTAACACACTGCGTGTGGGAGGTATAATATTCATCACTAATGATTTGTCCCCGAAGGCCTTACAAGTGCTTAATGACCTTAAAGTGCAAGCAATACATGACAGGCATGTGACATACTCGCTGCTAAATTGTGGCACATGACCTGCTGTTTAAAAGCTGACCTAAATTCTGAATAGCTTCGATGTGTCTCTACTGTCATGTAGAAAAAGAAGAAGAAGCATTTAAAGCGTCCACAGGCTAATGTGTGAATATGTTTCAATGGAAAAATCACTTTTTAAAGCAGAAAAGTGAATTAGTGTGATTGATTATACAGATCAGTATGAGTGAGGCTTGTACCTGTAATGATGACAGCGTGGACTGAAAAGCCTCTCTGGATTTAATATATGGGGCCTGTCAAAATCCTCTTAGCTCGTGGTTCCTCAGTCGGCTCGCACAATCAATCATTGTTGACTGTTTGGGCTTTGGATACGACTCGCATTCGCCGTCATGGAAATGTGGAAAGGACGTCAATTTTAAATAATTTACTGATTATTTCAAGAAAAGTTGTTTTACAAAATGTGAATGGAAACAATTTAAAGCCTCTGAAACGAGCAAAGAAGAAACAAACAAATGTTTGAAATGGGAAATTGAATTTATTTGTATATTTTGAAGATGAAACGATCATTTTGTCTTCAGGTCCAGCAGAGCTTCTTTAGTGAAAGTCAGAGCTAACATTAACCTCCTAAGACCCGAACTCTTCCACG